CCTTGTTCTACTCTGTTGTTGCTAAGATATGCCTTCTCCTCCCTTATGGAGGCTTTTTTATCATTTGCTACTCTTTGAGCTAAAAACTCTTTGAGCAACCAGTCAACTTCCCCCCATCCTTGGCTCTGTTTTCCTGCTGGTAGACACACCAGTTGCCTTCGTTCCTTACCAAAAAATTCAGCCAAAGCTATGAAGAAGCCTTTTCTATTCCTCTTACATTCAACAACATATCTTCTCCCTTCTAATGTACTAAAATCCTGCCAGGTTATCTGCTTACCTTTTAACAGGCTCCAGCTATGAACTCTCTTAGCTCGATCACTTCTAATCCTTCCAGCAATATTGTACCCTTTTTCGCTTCCCTTACCTTCAAGCTTACCTTCCCCTTGATTCTCATCTCTTCGAACAGGAAATTTTTTGCTTCTATCTTCAAGGATCTCCTCCACTGACCTGCCTGCACGAACTCCATTCCCTTCAAGGATCTTGAACTAGGGTTGTTCACGGGTTGATTCAGTTCTCAAACCTGAAGCATGTTGACACCCAAAATGAGTTAGTATTTGATGATGATTCTTTAACATGGGGAGATGTGGCTCTTGCTTCGGGAATTGAAGAGCCAACAATGAGTAAAAGAAATAGAGGTTCTGGTTCAGCTTCAGCTACTCATGTAAGAACAACAGCATCAGCCAATGCAAGAAAATCTAGAGGAGGTTCAAGTTCTCAACTCTGTTTGGAAGATGGAAAGCTTGAGGAAGAAGATTGGGAAGAGGCCTTTGGGGACTATAATTGTGATGATGATGAAGATGAAGTTGAACTTCCAAATGAAGAAGAATGAGAAATAAGATCATGAAGATGAAGACTAAACGGGAAAATGAGTGATGAGTGATAGCATTAGACACGACCTTATTTCATCCAACCTTGTTTTAAAGAATTGAACATCTACTCTTTTTTTGTTGTTTAGTTTAAGACTTTAAGTTGTGATTGTTTTTTTTTTGTTAATACTGATCATGATTAATGATGTGAATGTGATGTGTCATGTATGGATTTTCCGATTACCACTTACTAGATCTAGATGTAGTGATTCAGTGATTGTGGTATTGAGGCTTAATTGCTTAACACCATGGAGAGACTTGGAGAGGTAAGTTGTCTTTTAACTTCTTTTATATCCGCATTTTGTATCTTATTTATGATATTTAAATTCTTGTAATTTGTATGCAAATTGCAGAAATTAGAACTTTAGATTGCATGTCATATCTTAATTCTTAAATGCATGAACTAACCTCTAACCAATTGCACTAATAATCTAAACAAATCAATTAATTTCATTTGAAAATTTGAATTTCAAGTCTATCTTTTTTAACAAAGATGTATTGGTTTTTTGTAATTTTTAAATTTTTTATATGTTTTTTATATTTTGTATTTTTTAAAAACTCTGTTTGCCTTCTTCAAAAAGGCATGCACCTCGCTTTGTGCCTCAGGTGCATTTGGAGTCTTGCACTTTTTGTGCACCTCTCGCTCTGAAAACATTGAAACCTGCCAAGAACTTGAAGGCTCTCCCCTCCTCAACCTGCTTATCATATTTTTCTTTGTCAATAGTGCTGTCCCAATTAATAGTAAGGTGATGATCAAGTTCCTCCCACAATCCTTCCAAAGTAGCAAAATAAGTAGCAACTATCATCTCCCCTTCAGTGCTGCAATATCTTGTGTCAATCTATAGATTCCAGCATTGGTTTTGCATTGTTGTCCATAGGTTTTTAAAATCTTTTCCCAAATCTTAAATACAGTAGGGAAATGCTGGATGGTCCTAGCAAACTTTACAGTCATAGAGGCAAGTAACCAGGACATCATTGTTGCATTTTCTTTGCACCATGTGGCAATTCAGCCTCTCCTTCCTTGGGTTTCTTCACTTCTCCATCACCCCATCAGACCTTTGGAAAAAATAAATAACTTGGCTGAAATTGACCATTTCCAGAAGTTGTACTCATCTAGCAACACATTTGTAATTTGTACAATGTGGAGTGTTGGAACTCTTTTCTAGTTGATCTAGTGTCCTTAGAAGATGCTTCCCCTGAACCCTAAGACCACCTTGAGCTTAAAAAAATGTTGCTAAGCTTCTAAAAGACTGAAATGTGAAGGATTGAGGCACAAATCCAAGTCCCACACTTTCCTAGTAGTACCCAAACACACCTGAACTCTTCCTTGTATGGTTCGGCTACTGAATCCTGTTCTCACTGTCAACACTGCTATGGCTGTGCTTCACCTCCACTGGAACAAGAACTAGGACTTCTCTAAGCAGCCCTGCTTCTAGGGCTGAAGTTCAGCAGCCCTCTTCTAGTGTTTGTTTGTTTGTTTGAGGCCCCTAAATAGAAAAACAGGAAAAAAAAAAAGAGGAGAAAAAGAGAGGAAATAAGCAGGTCGAACCAGTCACAGAGTAGTTTTCAGTGCTCTGATACCATGTGTTTTAAACCTGCAAGGCTGCGATAGAGTTAGAGGGTTTTGGAGAAGAAGATAAGAGTAGAGAAAATGGAGCAGCAGAATAGAAGATTTCTACAGGTCCTAAATCTTTTAAGTCCAATAAGATGGTACAATAAAGTACAAAAGTACCCCTGATTAGTAATACTCCTAATAAAGGATATAAGGCTCAGTTTGGAAATAGTACAAATACATAAGTAATACAAAATACAAGGTTTTGCACTCTACATATTTTTATTTATACTCCTTCCAAACTGAGCCTAAAGTACTATTGGGCCCTATAACTAAAGCCCATTAGCAAAACAGCAAGGCTAAACACTTAATTAACAGGTCACATGACATCATTAAAAGTCATGTGACAGTCCCAAACGTGGGAACAGCCACTCTAACAATGATAATATTACAAAAGGAACCAAAGCAGACCCAATAACTTAAGGCCCAACAACACAGACACAACCAATAACATAAAATAAAAGGCCCACACAAGTAATCAACCATTACAATATAATTCATCATAAGAAAGTATATACCACAAAATACCAAGTTAATCCAAATGGACTTCCTGTTAACCTTTAAGCAAGAGGCTCTGTTTTGCTTCTTAAGATTCTTTCTTAAGAAAATCAGTGTGGGCCCCTTTCCCTCCCACGTCTCCCTTCCTTTAACTATCAATGGAGACTTCCTCAAGCATGTACCCTGCCCCACCGTCTCCTCTTTCTGAACCTCCACATGTTCCTTCATTATGACCTCTGCCCACCATTTCCTTCCTCACCGAAAAAGGTATCCACCGCAATACAGCTCTCGATCCCAAGTAGATGGGCCCCACCGATCGGTTCATCTCTCGAGATTTTCCTATCCTCGTCATTATTGCGAACCCTCGAACCTTGATAAACATTCTCATTAATTCCAATAATGCCCCTGTCTTCAACCTCAGGCCTTCTGTTGAGTGGTCTGTTCATCTTCCTGCAGTTTGCATTAGATGACTGAGAATAGTTGCACAACTCCTCTAGATCTTCAACCCATCTCATCAGATATGAGCCTTCTATTCCAATTCTTAAATCATAACATTCTCCAGCAAAACGAAGGACAAGAGAAGAAGGGACCAAATGAACTTCGTCGACTTCAACTAGGATACGAGTAGCAACAAGACACCTCCAGGAGATCGATCGAGAATCCATGAACCTGAATCTTCCACATGCATCCCCCACTGCTTTAAAAGTTTGGAAACACCAAGCATGTAGGGGGATTCCAAAAATATTTATCCAAATTAGACTTGTAGGGCCCAAATATCTGATTGCACCAACTACAAGATTCCATCGCCCATCCTAACCTCTGGGGATCAAACCTGGTTTTGTTCCTTCCTTAAAATATCACTCGCCTCTGCTTCACTATTGAAAGGGAATAAAAGAACCCGACATTCAACTTCCTAACCTTGAACGGCTTCCTTGGATGCCAAACAGCCTCCACCCAGTCACCAACACCCTCTACATCTGGATCAGAGTTCACAAAACGCCCAACCAAGCTCCTATTCAAGACCTTAAGTCTATCGTGAATATCCCTTGCTGGATTCACAACCACTTCCATGATATCTTAGCTTAGTCTATCCTCTACTGAATAGAGGACTGTAATACCCATGCAATCCACCTATTAACCATGCTAGATATTTTTGGCTACATCAATAACTCCATGAAAGACTTGAACAATGGAGCTGCAAAGCTTGAGGGGGCTCCAATCTTCCAAATCCACTACCTAACTGGAGTGGCTTAGGAAAGTTAATCAAAGCTCATGGAGATACAGAAATACCATGAGAAATAAGACAGTTGAAAATGGGAACTTAGTCACTAATTCATGTGTTATTATTGGTTAAACAGCCCATCAAGTGCAGCTATTCCAGACTCCCTAATTTGATGCTATGAAAAACAACAAACAGCATGAAAGAAACAGACAACCTGTAATCTATTTAAAAAAAAAAATGATTAAAAATAAGGGTAAGCAAACAAACTTTCAGTCTGACATTCTCATAAATGGAGAAAAAACCAATTCTTATCACATAGCAAAATTACACAAACTAGATTTGGAAACTTTTGTTAATTCTTTAGCAAGTTACCTGCATAGAATTGCATCAGTTAAATAAAATCTCAGAGCAATCTTATTTGCATATACCTGCTCTCCTATTTTATAGCTTTTCCTTGCATAGAAGCAATATGCAGAAATATCTTCTTCATACCCTCCATCTGTTAACCTCTGCAAATAGGCATTGAATTGCTTAGCATCAAACTTCCACAAATAGCTAAACTTCAAAGAAGATACCTCTTTCCAACTTACTAAATCTTCAGAGCAAGGCATTGCCTCTTCAGGTGCAGCATAATTAAAAAAGTCACCCACAGGGCACAAACACCCAGCATCATCCCACGGTATATGCAGTGTACGAGAAGATATCTTCAATCATGAGACAAGTTTGAAAAACATAATGTTTAAATTAACAGAACTAAAGAAAAAGAAAAAGGAAAAAAAAGAGCACAGTAAAGCTTTTATGGAAAGTGAATGCATTCTAAGATGGAAAGAAAAATTCCTGTGCTTGTAAAACAAAAGATAGTCAACCAATTAGCAGGTATGGGATCTCTTATGAACAAAACAGCTCATTAAGTGGTGATCAACCAGGCAACAAGAAACTTTCCAACCAATAATATCTTAGGTACCTCTCAAAATGTCAGAATTTAAGAAACAACGTTCTAGGCTATTGAAGTTTTTTTCTTTTCTTTTTTCTGTTATTTATTTATTTGAATTTTGAAGATACTAGCTTGCCTAATTGGTGAGACCTATGAGTGTTGGTACCACATGCCTGATTTGGAAACTTGTAAGTACATAAATTTAGACATTGCACTACCAGTGGTAAGTGACATGCCACAAGGCCATGCAGTCAACCATTGCAAAGCAATGGTGACACAATGAGATAATGACATGGTAGCACAGAACCAGAACCACAGCGCAGATATCCCACGAGTCTATATTAGTTGCTTCTTATCTTTTATCAAAAGGAAGTCTCATAATGATACATTGTGTTGTAATCTTCTTTCATCTAGTGTTTTGGAAGTCTTTTGGTGCTTTGTAGTCTGTTCCTTTGTGCTTTGTGTCTAGAAACATCTTTGTTCTCTTTTTCAGGTGCAGGTTGTCCCCTCCTAAGGATGTGGTGGGTCTTTTTGAGCCTAATTTCCTAAGGCAACCAAAGAAAATAGGACATCTTTTGTGGAAAGCAGTGAGGGCAGCTGTTGTCTGAACCATTCGGGAAGAAAGAAATGGTAGAATCTTCAATGACAAAAGCAGAACCGAAGGGGAGACTACTGAGTTAATTAAAATCAAGGCGGTGAACTGGGTAAGAACCATGGAGGCTTTCCAAAATTTCTCCTTAAATGATATATTGAGAAATTGGAAAGAGGTGGCACTCTCGGCTCAAGAAAAGGAAAGGCAATTTATGATTTGGAAACCCCTGGCCTTGTGGCAAATTATTGAGTTAATTAAAATCAAGGCACACCGCCTGGGTAAAAACTATGGAGGCTTTCCCAAACTTCTCCCTAAGGAGGCGTTCTTTTTTTGGATTCTGAGAGGGGGGAAAGTTGGTCAATGGGATTTTGGTTCCCATTGACCAAGAATCCCATGTTCTTTTTTCAGATTTATGTGGGAGCCGGGGAAAGTTTATTTTCCTGGGTATCACTTACCCGGGTAAGTGATACCCATCTCCTAGGTGGGTAAATAACTTTCCCACCTAGGGGGAAAGTTGCCAACACTTGAATGGGGAAAAATACCCTTTTTAATAATGGATTTTTATGGCTAAAATGGTCATTGCCTTATTTACATGAGACATAAAAGAACATGGGTAAATGCACTTACCCGGGTAAGTGTTTCCCAAGAAAAAATTACCCAGGTAACTGCATTTTCCCGGGTAAGTAACTTACCGAAAAGCGAACGGGGCCTAAATGATAGCATTGAGAAATTGGAAAGAGGTGGCACTCTCTGCTCAAGAAAAGGAAAGGCAAATTATGATTTGGAAATCCCCAGCTTCTAACTTCATAAAGGTCAACTTTGATGGAACCTTCATTTGCGAAGTGGGATTGGCTGGAATAGAGGGAGTCTTCAGGAGTTCAAAAGGAAGAGTGGTGGCACAAATTCAGGTCCTTTGGAGCAAGGGAATGCACTAACAACAGAAATGGGAAGCTTATTGCAGGGATTAAAACTTGCCAAACAATTTGGTTTCCACAATCTAGAAGTGGAAGGGGGTTCTCAGGTAGTCATTTCATGGACAACATGCAGCACCCAAATCCCTTGGGTTTTCCAATACAAATTCAAGGAGATTGAGAATTTAATAAGGGAGTTTAATGTGTCTTTCAAATGGGTGAAAAGAACAGAAAATGGAAGAGTTGATACTCTAGCAAAGCAAGGGGCTTTAAGACAACATTTCTTTTGGGCAATCTATAAATCCTTATATTGTTAGGGTGAATTTTACACCCATCCTTTTGTAATCTTCAAGCTTCATTAATAAAATTTCTTTTAATTGATCAAAAAAAAATCTTCCTCCATCTGGTAATCGACTACTCGTCGCATAGATCCTTCGTTGCAACCCTCAACGCACCCATTGCGTGTACATAGCTCCCCCATCACATTTTCCTTGACACATCTCACATCGTGGTAACAACTCTACAGTGCCTTATCATGCTTTGGGTCCATATTGTAGCAGGACTTCACAAGCCCACATTGCCCACCCGTCTTGAGAACACATAGTGCAACTTCTCCATAATTCCACATTGCTCATCACAAACGCTATTCAATACTTAAGCATTTTGGGTCACACTTCCCTAACATACCCACCTGAGGATCCGAAAAAGAGAGTAATTGCACCCTTGCTCACTGACTGGCCAGGTGTCTCAGATCTAACAAACTTGTAACAACATTCCCAAAGCAGGAAAGTTTCCCTCTCTTTCCTAGGAAATCTATAAATAAGGGATCTACGAGAGACGCCCCCCCTCACGCGTTCATAACCAAACCTTGTGTGATTTATGCTTCTCTGAAGACCGACTAATTTCTCTACTCTCATCCTTCTTTTTCCTGACCTCAGATCTCCAATCTAAGAAAACCACCCTCTACAACCTCTCAACTCACTAGAAACTCCTCCTATAAGGCCATCTACCATCTTTCAAGTAGACCATTGTTGTGCCTTTCCCCTAGACTTAAATTTAGAATCTCTGGATTCATTCCTAATCATGATAATGGTGTCGAGGAAAATGAAGACTCCCGAAGGAAGCTTGGCTCCGACCCCTGAAGATCTGATGGAAAGCCAGCAGTAGATTGTTATTGAACCTCAGTTTGAGTACAAAGATGGCGAAGAACTGAGACCTTGGCTGATAAGTTGTACAACCTCACTGATCGAGTCGTTAGAATAGACAGCTGACTGGATAGTATAGCCACGGGATTCCATGAGGTAGAACGTATTTACTGCCTAGAGCAGCAGCAGAATGAGATCAAGGAGATGCTCCTCCAGCTACTCCAACAACCTTAGTCCTAGAGCCTCAAACTCAGCCACCAGTGGATGTCTATCAGCCGCTTCAGTCGGCCACCCAACATCGGTACCAGGCCAAGCCAGCACCAGTTTCTCAACTTACAACACTAGAGACCCCTGATCTAGCATTCCAGAGACCAGATCCATTCAGATCTATGCTTTTTGTAAGGAACACTACCCACACCGTCATATCAAACCACCACTGATTATGACAGCAGCAGGGAGATCCGATGGCCCTTCAGAAACACCACTCAATCAAGAAGAGCTCCATGATTACATGCAAAGCCTGATTGAGGTGAGACAAGGGAAGACTCATACTACTACTGTGTTACAGAAGTCGTACACTACTCGGATCTTGCAGAAGACATATCCAATAGGGTACCACCCTCCCCAGCAATGGTGCTTCTATGATGGACAGTCCGGCAATCCCCAAGACACATCAGCAAGTTTGAAGATTCTCTAGGCCCCTTCGCACTAGATGGAGACCTCAAGGTGCGTGAATTTTCTAAGTCACTTACCAGGCCAGCTTACTCCTAGTTTATGAATCTGGCTGTAGGGAGCATTGATTCCTAGGAAGAGTTGGTAGAGAAATTTGTTGCAAAGTAGTTCACCCTTGAGCACAAGAAGACAATGGCAGACCTGAGAAATGTGGAACAGAAGTTTGAAGAGGAGCTGCTCGATTACGTACTGCAATTTAGAAAGGTGACGCATTCGGTGTTTGATGAGCATGTGACCGAGAAGGAGGCTTATGTCTCCTCCTCCTTCCTCCTTGTCTCCCTCCTCTTAAGGAGGCTTATGCCTCCTTGTGTTCGGGAGGCTTACGCCTCTTATGTTTTGAACTACACCTCACGCCTCTAGGTAGTGGAATGCCTCGGGTCACGCCTCCATGTTTTAAAACATTGATTTTAATAATTTTTTTCTTTATCTTTCAAAAAAAATAACAATCCAGTAGAAATCATTAATTAACTAAGAAACAACCTAGGAAATCATCAAAACAAAATAATAAACAAGAAAATAGCTAAATTCAAGCACGAGAATGCTTCACTTTCTTTCTTGTTCCTTCTAGATTTGTCACATGTTTCTTCATAGTTAAGTGTTGCAGCCTCTACATCAAAAAAGTACATGTGAGGGGAAAAGCATTTGTTTGGCCTTCTTTTCTACAACACATCACAAGTATTGATCGTTCCAAGGAAGACCTCCCAACAAAGGGACTGAATTTTGGGAGGGTTAGGCTTGTTCCAAATTTCTTTCACTGGGAAGTTAAACCCCCAAGGTATTTGGTCGTATTAAAAAGTTGAAGAAAGAAGCATAAATAAAAAAGCCAACCAGGGAAATTGACCACACCCTAGTGTCCTCCACACTTTGGTCAAAAAAAAACTAAATCAAATCTGGTCAAAAGAAAGATGAGGGATTCAAACTCCACTTCCCTAAGACCTCTTCTGAATCCAAAGTTCCAATTTAAACCTGAAGCAAAGAAAACCACAAACTTAGATATAAGTTCAGATTTGTAGGGAAAGGCAGACAATTCTGAGGGTAGAACTCTTATAAATAGGATCAGAAACATTGAGGAGGATCCGGCTGTGAGATGGAGAAGATAAATGGTGTTTAAAGCTAAGAAATTTGTGTTCGAGGACTGCCGAAACAACGGTCAAGCTTGTCTGAAGATTAAAGAAGAGAAAAAAGCCACTGTTTTTATGTTCAGGGATGCTGTGGTGTGGATAAAAGGTTTAGTGGATGGAGCTATCTACTCGAAGAAAGAGAATGGATGTAAGGGGCAACTGAAGATGGAAGGGAAGAGTTTTGGTGTTGAACTGAGGAATAACAAGAAGGGCTGGTACATAATGTTATCAGAGTGTTTCAGGGAAAGGAAGAGAAAGATGGTTTGTAT